AGATGACACACAGGCATTTGGAACCAACCAGGAGGATTATGCAAGTTACATCATGAATGGCATTATAAAGTGGGGTGACCCTGTAACACGGGTTCTGGAAGATGGAGAACTGCTTGTCCAGCAAACCAAAAACAGTGACCGCACTCCGCTAGTTAGCGTTCTTTTAGAAGGTGAGTTTAGGGATATTACTATGTTGCTTCTGAAAGTGAATTACACACACAGTCCAGTCTTTTCAGTTATCACATACAGTTTTTGGGCTAGGCATTCAGTAGTGTGTAAAGTCAACTTAACAGAAAGAAAATGGCAAAATGATTAGATGAATGCATGTTGCATCTGATATTAGACTAGGGTTGTCTGGTTCTTGGAGTGTGTGGAACATTGTCTATCCTATATCTGCTCTTAGAACACTAGAGCAAGAGTGAATACTTTGTAACTAGTTACCTGTTTACAGACAGGAAAAATTCAGTCCGCCTGTGAGCAATTGCAGTTACTGTGAATTGATGTGTTACTGGAAGTTCTTTACTGAGTAGCATCTTTAGTTTGTTGCTGCTTCTTCATTAGTTTGTTGCTAGTATGTGACACTTACGTTGTGTATTATTAATTAACTTGAAGATTTTGCTGGCATTGCTCAGGTCCTTAACTCAATTAATTTGTGTTTGTCTTCATTGAAATGATTGCTGTGGAGTGGGGCTGGGGATGAGGGGTTCAGTATGCTAGCTACCCCACATCTCTGACACCGCAGCAGCTTGGAGCCAGGTGAGAAGCGCCTCTCCATAGCAGCTGCATCTCCAGTGGGCACAGCCAGGGGAGAGGTGCATGACCCCAGTTGGGGCAGGTCCAGGTTTCTCTGCCGCCTGCGGACCCACGCGAAAGGGAGGAATGCAGCAAACTCTGCACTTTCCCCTCATTTCCTGATGAGGGGGAACAGCCAGCAATGTTCCTGTGTGAATGGGGGAAGGAGGGAGCTTCCTTCCCTCCACACCCTCCGTAAAGCTGTAAAGTGTGCCTGGGGTGGAAAACTTGGGGCTGGGGCAGTTCCAGATGGCAGGGGGAGACACTCCCAGCCAGCCCCTTTCATGTGCCAGTGTCTTTTCTGTATGATTGTATGAGAAATATTCCTAGGCAGACCCGGAGATCAATAGACTTGTGCACGGACAGACAAACTCTCAGCCAAAGGGTGGATTTGGTGTGGCACGTAGGCTGTACCGTATGTTTGTGGTTGAATTAGTTTTTCTCGTGAGTTTCCAGTTACAAATTCCACTTTTCCCTTCCATGGGAATTCTAATCATTCACACAGAATTACTGCCAGCCATCTTGTTTGCAAACGCACAAGGGGCATATATGTAGTTTAAGCAAATTCATTTAAAATCAAAGTAAACGTATCCAGTCCTTTGCAGTAAAGTAGGCCAGCTCATTAAGACACGGCATCTTTTTGGTTCTTGGCTTTTTTTATTTTGCAAGTTGCACTCCTTGGAGTCCAAATAGTCTCTGTAATTAGCCTCTTTGGGTGGTAATGCTAGACAAGAACTGAGAAAGAAGAGGAGTGAATTTTCTATGCATGAAGAGTCAGTTTAAAATGTGAATAAGATTATTAACTTGCTCGAGTCCATCTAACTTCCTTTGAGCCTTGTTGTAAAATCTTATTCCCACTTTCTGACTCTTATCTCTTCCTTTGTATAGGTCCCCCACATAGTGGAAAGACCGCCTTGGCAGCAAAGATTGCAGAAGAGTCCAACTTTCCCTTTATCAAGATCTGTTCTCCTGATAAGACGATTGGCTTTTCTGAAACTGCTAAGTGCCAAGCTATGAAGAAGGTACTATGGGCATTACTGTAATTATCTGAACCTGATTCTTGTGTACTCTGACCTGAGATTGAAAACTGACTTTGCCCTAAATTGTGCTTTCTAGTCTGAATGTCAGAGTTACCCCCAGCTCCTACTCTTCCTTGTCTACATGCTCTTACTTAGACGGCTGGGGACTATTGACATGGATCTTATACACAGCCATCAACAATATGGCTGAGCACCCAAAAAGTCAGGAAACTAAGGTGCCCCCTTGTGCATACGTGTTATGAGACAGTTTTTAATTACATGGTCACATCATTTTTTTCCCCCCCACAGAACCTCATTTAGAACTCAAGATGAACAACATTTTGGGGATGAATTGTTATGAGGCAAATGAGTCTGTTGTCACTAGGACCCTTGCCTTTTCTGCTGCTGCAATTGGAGAGCTGTAGTGAGTAAGATGAAATTGTGGGAATAGAAAGGATGGTCTCATGCTTGAGGCAGTTGAATGCTGCACTGGCAAATTGGACACCATCTCGGCAATAGAGTTCCTAGGTGAAACGCTTAAAAAAAACTTTTAAGGGCATAGGAATGGCATATACATGCTTTATTTACTGTAAAAACACAGATGAGATGCAACATCTATGGTCTGTTACTCACTTTAGTATTCAAGTACCAAACTGTCTAGTATTAAGATATTGTTGGCGGCTATACTTGATTGCTGAATAATGCTGAAGATTTTTGTAAAGCTCTAAGAACATGTGAATACCAAGTTGTTCCACATTGTTTTTCCATTCAAGACTATCTAGAGGAGGAACATGCTATAAACAGAGGAAAGTGAGAATTCTTTATCTCATCACATTCAGCTAATTGATTTTTCTAAGGTCATTCTGAATTCTAGATCTTCCCTGATACAAAGGAATGCTATATACCAGGGGTGTCCAAACTTTTTTCAAAGAGGGCCAGATTTGATGAAGTGAACATGCGTGAGGGCCGACCATTTTGCCTGACATTCTTTGAACCATTAAAATTAAATGCAAATTAACTATTTTATGCAAAGTTTATTGCAAACGGCATACTTTTCATTTCGTCACATGGATGACAAATCTAAACAGGTGTTAAATCACTCTGCCTTTCATATCTGAAGGCCAGATGAAAAAAAAATCCAGGAAGCTGAAATATATGTCAGGAACATTGTAAAGTACATTACATATTATTGGTAATAAAGGTTGTCTGTCAACTTTTAAGTTCAAAAAATATGAACAGGAACATAACACCAAGTATACATGTTGTGTCCAAATATATTTATAACTGATTTAGACCAACTGACTAACTGAGATTTTACAATGTATTCATCTCAATACATATGGATTCGTTGGGGGCCATAAAAGATAGATATTGCCAAATTACCTGTGGGGACGTATTAAACCGGAACACGGGCCGCAATTGGCCCGCGGGCCGGACTTTGGACATGCCTGCCATAATGGATCAGACCAATGGCCCATTTAGCCCTGTCTCCTGTTAGTGGCCAGTGCCAGATACTAGAGAGAATGAACGGAATAAGGTAGGTGTCCAGTGATCTATCCCCGTCTTCTAGTCCCAGCTTCTGGCAGTCAGAGGCTGAAGGGCACTCAAAGCATGGGCTTGCATCCCTGACCATCTTGGCTCATTCCCATTGATTGACCTGTCCTCTGTTCCCCTTTTGAGCTCAGCTACATTTCAGGTCTTCACAACATCCTATGGCAGTGAGTTGCCCAGATGGACTGTGTTGTGTAAAAAAGTATTTTCTTATGCTTGTTTTAAATCTGCTGCCTGCTAATTTTGTTTGGGTGACTTCTAGCTTGCATGTTCCTTATTCATTTTCTATAAAATGATTCTGCTTTGAGTGCTTGTGAAGGAATAGAATCTGGACATCGAATGTGAAGCAAGCGGAAGTTTACTACACGCAGCGCTGGGTGGAGTGCCACATCGTTTGCTTGAGCTCAGTGAACACTGCCAAACAATAGGTTACAACTAGTTACATAGGATGCTCAGTGGGCAGATCAAAGTGATGGGAGGGGGGAAGATCCCAGACCCCCTAGATAGATACTAATAGTAAGGCAAGATAAGAGCAATAATATAAAGTTACATAGTATTTCCAGTAAAACAAGTATTTAAACAAAGCAGACATCAATTATCAGTTAAGTGGTGATATGTCTGTCAGCTTCAAGAAGGTATCTCTGCAGGATTTGGTCCATCTGGGGATTAAAGGAGAGACATGAGGAGTACTTAACAATGGCACAGTTGTGCCTAGCAGCATTGAATGTGTCATGTCCTCTCTCCCACTCTGAGCTAGGTGTGTGTGTGTGACGGTATGGGCGGTAACCATCATGTATATCATAGCCTGCCTCTGGAATTTTCATCCTACAGCTTGCTCATTCCCATTCCAATTAGATGTGCACAGACTGCGTGCACCGATTCTGGAGCTTTTTCTCTTAGCAGTACCCGTTGGGCCAGTCAGGGAGCCCCCTGGAGTGGTGCCAGCATATCTGTGCATATATACCCCTTCTGGTCCCTCACCCCCTCAAGTCCTTTTTACCGCCCCTGATGGTAGCTGCAGCATCCTCAAGACTGGTAGTCTTCACTTTAGCCTGTATATAGGTCTGTAGATTTGTCAGTGTTTCTCAGTTAGTTAGTACCTCATTAGTTTCTGTCAATAGTTTTAGATAAGGGCTTCTCCCCTAGGACCTCTCCCCTGCTGGGGAGGGGATGCCAGGACCCCAGGGATTCAAGCTGTGTTCATCGTGCTTGAAGCCTATGCCCTGCGGGGATCTGCTGACTCTTGCTTGAAGTGTCTCGGGGAGGCCCATCACACGGAAAGGGTTTTAAATCGAGGGCTAAGAGAGGAAGGGACTTGAGGCTCAAGTTTATCCTCATGGAGTCTGCTTCATAGTTGTTGGCTCCAAAGCGGGGCCCATCATTGCACAACGCACCGTTCTCGGTGCGAGAGGCTTCTGCGGTGCCGTCCAGGCACCAGACTACCTCTTCAAAGCCATCTAGTCCCTGGTACCAAGGAGAGCCAAGAATGCCAGGGGAAGATCCCCGGAGAGGCGCGGCCACAAGGTGTGCCCGAAGGAGGGGCACTTGGCCTCAAAGGCACTCTGGGATGTCCCAGTCCCACCCAGGTGAAGCCATACTTCCACGCAGAAAGGAAGTCCAGTACCAGAAGGGACTTTCGAGGAACTCCGCAAGCCATGGACGCCGGAGACTTTTGACATGGCACGAGAGCTCATTGAATTGACCTCCCCAGAGGCGGGGGCCTTGGCACTAGCAGGTCCAGATTTGCCCAATCCGGCCCCAACGCGGGCACCAAGCCATTGGGCGGCAGCAACGCGGGCACCGATTTCGACAATGATACCAATACCACCACCGGCCCCAACATGGACACTCTAGAACCTATCCCGGCCTTCCATCATATCTACCTCTCCCTCTAGCTTAGTGTCATCCGCAAACTTGCTGAGGATGCAATCCATCCCCTCATCCAGGTCATATTAAAGATGTTGAAGAAAACCAGCCCTAGAACTGATCCTTTGGGCACTCCACTAGAAACTGACCACCAACCTGACATTGAGCCAGCTTTCTATTAGTCTTATAGTCCATTTATGCAAGCCATACTCCCTTAACTTGCTGGCAAAAATATTGTGGGAGACCGTAACAAAAGCTTTGCTAAAGTCAAGGTATATTACATCCACCAACTTCCCTATTACCACAGCGCCAGTTACCTCATCATAGATTGGTCAGGCATGACTTGCCCATCATGAATCCATGTTGACTATTCCTGATCACCTTCCCTTCTTCCAAGTGCTTCAAAATGGATTCCTTGAGGATCCCCTCTATGATTTTTCCGGGGACTAAGGTAAGGCTGACAGGTCTGTAGTTCCCTGGATTGTCCTCCTTCCCTTTTTTAAAGATGGGCACTACATTTGCCTTTTTCCAATTTTCTGGGATCTTTCCTGATCTCCATGAGTTTTCAAAGATAATGGCCAAAGGCTCCGCAATGACATTTGCCAACTCCCTTAGTACCCTCAGATGCATTAAATCCAGACCCATGGATTTGTGTGTGTCTAGCTTTTCGAAATAGTTCTTAACCTGTTCTTTATCTACTGAGAGCTGCCCACTTACTTCGCATACTGTGTTGCCTAGTGCATTAGTCTGGGAGCTGACCTTGTCTGTGAAGACCGAGGCAAGGAAAGCATTGAGTACTTCAGTTTTTCCCAAATCATGTCACTGGGTTACCTCCCTCATCCAGTAAGGACCCCATGCCCTCTCTGACCACCCTCTTCTTGCTAACATGCCTGGAGAAACCTTTCTTGTTCCCCTTCACATCTCTTGCTAGCTGCAATTCCAATTGCGTTTTCGCCTTCCTGATAACTCCCCTGCATTCTTGAGCAATGTATTTATACTCCTCCCTAGTCAGCTGTCCAAGTTTACACTTCTTGTGAGCTTCCCAACAAGCTCACAGCGTCTTGTGACACATGAAATTGAGACACACGTTCAGGAAGAAGGCCAGGTGGGGACCATTCTAACCTTGTCCTTAAAGAAAATTGTGTAAGGAGGCTCCTGGCTGAGGTGACTGCGATCACGAATGCGACCTTCCACGCCAAGTGCTTCGGAGAGCAGGCGGCTAAGGGCTCAAAGGGGGCTCTCATGAGACCCATCAGGACAAAACTGAGATGCAAGGGTGGCACCGGGGGTGCATATAGGGAAACAACCTGTCTACCCGTCATTAACCTCTTTACCACTGTATTAGTGAACACGGACCCGTGGCCTTCCCCAGGGTGAAGGGCTGCAATTGCTGCTAAATGCACCTTCAGTGAGGAAGGAGCAAGGCCTTGATGTCTAAGCTGTGATACTGAGATTAAGAGGATTGTAGCACACACCAGGTTTACCCCCTTCTGCTCTGCCCATCAGTCAAACCGGCTGCACTTGGCCTCATACAGTGCTCTGGTAGAGGATTTTCTACTCTCTAGCAGCACCTTCTGTACCTCCTG